TTTTTTATTACGTTCCTATTGTAGGAATTAATATGCGATCACAGGAAGTAGCAATCAACTACAAAGCATTAAAACAGCACAGTACAGTGTATATAAGGGGTGTGATTTATTTCTTGATACTAAGTTAAGTAATTCTTCAAGAATAAGTAAAACTTCAGCATGGGCATACTCTCTAACGTACTATCATATGATGGATTAGCTGAAGGCAGATAAGTCCGATTCAAGCTTATATTGCTTACTATAAAGATTGTTGTAATACAATTAACTTTAACTAGTGGTCGTCCAGTGGTCGAAAACTCGACCAAAAATATGTAATGTACAGGTTTCAAATGATTTAGGCCTAAAAAATGTTTAGCTGTGTGAGTAACTAAGGATTTCTGGAAAATTTAAATATGATATTTAAATGTTTCTTACTCAGGAACAATGCCGATCCGGGACACTCTGTATAAATGGACGTTAACGTGATTATAAATTTGCATTTTATATAATCAAAATACAATAGGTATTGCGCAACCGTGATATGTTAATTTATTAACCTTGGTTCAGTAATAAAAACTACACCGTATGCAAACAAAACAAAACTTGCTTACTGTACAGCAATAAATCACGTAAAGAACAAAACAAAAGAAACTAGTAGAATACTGATACCGTAGTCATCATAGGCTACTACTACATGATGTTACAGAACAGAAGTATGGGGATAAAAATCTTAAATAACTCATAAATCACCATAAAATCATAGTACTGTACTTAAGTCTTTCTGGTAATAACAACAGTGATAAAAATAAGATAAAGATAACAATGATGTAAAACCCCTCTTATAATTTCTCTTTGTTCTATTCTTTCTTTGGTTTCAATGCATCCACAAGTTGTCATGGTTACTAATCACCCAATAACCCAACCACAAAATGTTGTAGTGTTGTGAAAGCAGACAGGAGCAGACGATTGTCAGTATAGTATGAGTATGTCGTCAGTGTCAGTCCAAGATTGTCAGTCTGTAGGTGCGAGCTTATAGCTTGACCTTGAAGCTACTGATCGATATTTCTCAGTTTTGACTCCATCTTATTTTTGCCAAATGAACTGTAATGTTTCAATAATTGGGAACCTACTGCACATAAAAATTACCGTAAATAGTTAAATATATAGTTCATATCGAAATATTAGACTGAAAAATACAATTTATAACACATTTTCTCGGGATTTGTGAGGTTATATAATATAGGCATCATGTTGATCCGACCCCAGTTAAGCGAGGTTCTACCTACTTTATTTGCAAGTTTAAGTTACAAATAGAAAACCCCATCACATTATGGTTGGTATTCAATGACCGATGTATTATAAAAAATTAGTTCATTACTTATTTTGATATTAATCAGAAGCATTCATTACAGCTTGCAGCACTTATTGCTATATATAAATATCCAAGTTACTATTACTTTAAAAAAATAAAACACGAAATATTGTGGCCATTCAATGTTTGTAAACACAGTGTTAAAAATTTGACTCTACAGTAGGCCTACTACAGAATACCGGATGGTAAAGAATGTTATGTTTAAAGGAAATAAAATAAAAAATAGTTTAACCAACTTTACTATTTATTTCGGAAAACAATAGAAAGGAACCCCATAAGGATAGGTATGGGATTGAACTAAAATAATTTCAGGTAAACTTAAATAGTAAAGTCCACAATCTGTACATCGTTAGAGAAAGAGAGAGAGAGAGAGATTTGATAAGGAATCTGAAAAGTAAACAAATAATCGTTTCTGGCGTTTGTCATATTGTATCCTCCCCCCCCTTCACGGACATTTGCACTCGTGACCACTTTTTGTTGCTTCCTTATCTTTCGTCCGTCCTAAAATAGAATTCCTGTAATAGTTTGATTGTAAAATTAAAATTATTATAAGAATCTTTTATATTTCGAGTGAAATAACGTGGTTACTCTTATCAGATAGAATAATATCGTTGCCATATGTAATAGTTCCTCCTTCGCGTACGCAATAGCATGAAAAAAAAACAGTTCCTGTATCTCAAACAAGATTCTCGTATATTTCACGAGATAAAGAAAATCCGTATAATTCCCGATCTTCCCAGTCCATGGACAGCCTGTAGATATTGTACGTCAATAAAGGAGAAATTGACTAAAGGTTCTGCTAAATGTGAAAATATTTCACTTTTATAATAAAAAATAAACAAAACTTAGGCCCAAAATATGAGATGATGAACGGGTAGGATCAAGATTCAACCATTTATAATTCATTAATATTCGACGTTCCTTATTAGAGGTGCATCATATTTATTTGGATTATGAACATTTTAAAAATCAACACGTAGTTAATCACTCAACATAAATAGTAACAAGGAGTAAACGAAGGTTACAGACCGCTGGGTGTTACCGCTACAATGTAGGCGAGGAGGGTGCCATACTTGGCTACGCTACTCCACGATAGAACACACCAACACACGTTGAGGCAGTCTCCGCCGCATTGGTATTGCAGTTACGCTTATCGACACAGGCAGCAGCACCGGTTAAGCTGTTTCCATACGTATAAAGTGCACGGGAAGCCATACCTGACTGGCTTATGGGAGAGCTGACTGGCTTTCGGGCGGGTGACTGCCACACCGAGTAAATTACCAGCGCGGTGACTGCCACTCCGGGTGGGTTCAAAAGTATATATATATATATATATATATATACACACATATATACAAATTTGAACGAATGGTGTTTTTGGCCTCTGGGGACATCAAAATGAAATAGTAAATCGGTCCCGGGCCTAGGTCTTACCATGCCACCTACGGTAATAGCTACTTCCCTATAGGGAAATTCGCTAAAATGTTATAATTAATTTTAAAGTATTAAACCACAGAGAAGTAAGAAAAATAGGATACATTCAAGTGGTGTCTTAACACCAAACGACAATTAATTATAGAATTTCCTCTAAAATTTTCTAGAATAGTCTTCAAAGTTAGCGTGTTGCAAACATTTTGGTGCGAATGTTTTCCCCGAATACACAATATTGGGTTCAGCACAGTTCGACCGAAGTTAGCCGATAGTGTACTTGGTTAGTTCGGGATGGTTCGGGCTGCACATTCGTCAACATTCGTGGTCGCAATCTGACCCGAACATTCGGCGAAACATTCGGGCTAATGTTCGGCGATAGTGTACTGGTAGCATAAGGATTCATAGTCAATGGCTGTACGCTGCCGACTGCCGAGCGTCAGCTCACTTCAAATCGAAACTGCAATTAAATGGCATTGAGCCTTGAGCCCTTGAGTTGTAGTGCTGTACAAATATACACATTTTTCAAGTGCTGTTGGTACAAACAGAATAAATGCCTTTATTGTGGTGCTTTGAATACTTGGACTCTGAGCAAAAATAAACAAAATTACGTTGTTCAGTAAAAAAAATTGTTCCCTTGGCGCCATCTTTTCGTGGCGCCATATGCGGCCGCGTAGTTCGCGTATGGGTTAAACCGGCCCTGTTCAACTCAGCTGAATTTTAATTTTTTTTTGGCTGATTTTATTATTTTCTTTGATCTGTACTCAATCATATGCTCTCAAAATTCAACTATTTGTAAACAGTTCATATTTTTATTTGTTTTGTTCATTTTTACATTTTTCATTAATTTCTCTTTGCTTGAAAACGTTTGTATTAAACAAAAATTTACAATGTTTCATGTTTCATTTATCATATAAACTCTATCGAGATCTCCTCAAGAATATATATACCTACAATTTTCCGCCCATCACTAATAAATATGTAAACAAAAAAAGTAAAAACCTTTAACCAAGTATAAACAATAAAAAGGATGGCAATGTGTTAGTATTTTTAACTTTTGTTCTACATCCACACAATCTAACATAAATTGTTAAGTGAATAATAATAATGTGTGCTATCTCAGGTATTCAAATGCCCCCCAATTTGTCATTAACCCACCACATGAACTCAATAACATTAATGCCAAACTTAAGTTTAAGGTGGATATAAATCCACCCAAGCTGTGCAACGGAACCAGAATGACGATTAAAAGAATGATACCAAACTTGATAGAAGCAACGATCTCCAGTTTAAAGGAGTCTTAACCCCAAGAATTCCAATGATTTAATCTGTATTACCCTTTGAATACAAGCGACTACAATTTCCTTTGCGTCTTGCTTTTACAATCACCATTTAAGGCATAAAGGCAATCCCTGACTATCGCCGGTTTAAATTTTGAGAACGCATGCTTTTCACACGGACAGCTGTTATGTTGCCAGCTCACGTGGTGGTAGGTACGCCTAAAAACCTATTTGCTTATATGCTTTATGAAGAAACAAAAAAAACATTGTTTATCCATTGATTTCCATTAAGTCAAATTAATATCCTTTTTTGATTTTGGTATACATTTTTATTATTTATCGTAAAGAACAAATTACCATTCAAAACAATAGTTGTTAGTGCAGCAACACGCGCCTAGTAACTGCTAGTATTTAATATAAGTACCAACACATGTTGGCAAAGAAAAGAGATTTTCACCACACTGTGATGTTTTTAGAGGTTTTACATACGTTAATTTTGCTGGACATGCTGTCATCGTTATTTGGGGACTGAGCAGGTTTTTACATCCCTAGGGCTGCAAAATCAGCTGCCCACTTACTTACTTAAAACATGAATGCATATACACAATCAAAATCCATAGCATAGCAATATAATTGTTTTATTGTTACTGTTGCCTAGGAACTATTTATTATTTTTTTCTTCTAAATTTCTAAAATTATTTCTTCACATAACCTTAAAGTTGTAGTTGTGTTGACTATCAGTGTGCATTATTATAGTGGTAATAGGGTATAGTGTGGTGAAAAATAGTGTTAGTACCACGGACCGAAATGGTTTTTGGGCCCTAGGTACGAAATATACTATTAGGTAAAACAAAGAGGATAAAAGTAAAATGTTTAAGTTTACCGAACAGGTCCCTTGGTGTTAAAATTAAGTTTAAGGTTTGATACTTTTTTTTACATACCTGTTTACCAATCCCATTGTAATATTTATCCATATTCTCCAGAAGATGTTCATACTGCTCCTGTGAACAAGAAAAAAACATACTTAAAATGGTTTACAATACCTGCATATAGTAATCCTTTGTTGCTGATTTAGGCAACTAGTTTCGGTTCTTGTTTTTGTTAGTCTAGACTTTACCTCAGCCCGGTCACGATCGATTGTCAATGTCCCTTAGTGTTTTTTGTAATGTATGTCCGTTCCGTGTTATTGTGTTTTGTTTTGTATATGTTTTATTTATTGAACTCTGTTTGATAACGACCTTCGAATGAAGTGATTACCTGACACCTTGAGGCCTGATGATGGTTCAAAACAAGAACCGAAACTAGTTGCCAAAATCAGCAACAAAGGATTACTATCTGCAGGTATTGTAAACCATTTTAAGTATAATACAGTAATCCGGAGGCTAAACAACTATTTTAAAATGAAGAAAAAAACTGTATTGTCAGGCTACTAGACTGCCATCAGAAAGCAGCTTTCAATATTTATTGACAATGTGCAGGATGTGATACTCACATTACTAGTACATATAGGGTGGGTTTCAGTTTGAGCAAAAACTGTTTGAAACTATGGATAGTTCTGAGTTAAAATAGTTCAAGATGTAAAACAGAATCAAGCAGTTGATAATTAAATATTCAATTTGAGGTATATCTCAGTTCAGAACTAAGTTTGATTCGCGATTAAGTCAAGAATTAATTTGGGAATCGCTGGGAAATTTTTATTTTCTCGTGGTAGTGTGTATTGTAGGGGCAATTTATGTGCTTCGACAGTGTATAAGCGCAGTGCCGGTGTCATTAACCACGATATAGTGTCATCTCATCCAACACCCTACAATTTCCTAGTAAGAAGTGCTACCTTGTTAAGAATATATTAACAGTTGATTAAACACACTAATTGGTGCCTCCTCGTACAATGGAAAACTTGATAAGGTGTAACTAAGGGTGAAAACAGTGGAACGGCGAGGCTAGAGAGAAGCGGAGAGTTTTTTTAGCCCCGATGGTAGTGGGGTTTCACATGCACATAGTAGAGCGGTGATGGTAGATGGTAGTGAGTCAAGAGGATCAATTACAGTAATTTAATTAAACATTAGTATAAGGTTCGTGAGAGGAGTCGGGTGAAAAACTTGGGAGTTAATTCTTATTGAAATTTATTATTAATCAATCAACAATCGTGGTTTTCCTGTTTATAATTGATTTTCTTTTATAATAATAGGAGTAAAAATGACTACACAGTATGGTTTCTAAAGTCCATAGTGGAAGTGATGTTTATTTACAACAAATTAATAAACATAGCAATCACATGGCATATAATTAACACATGACAGCTGCTTCTAACTTAGTACCAAGAAGGCAATGAGGAACAAGATTATAAATAAATTCCAACAAGCCCACCCAATTTAATTCTAGAATTAACTTTAGTTTAGAGCTTGAATTCAGAGAGCCATTTTCTATATGTAGTTTTGGACTAAATCTTGCATTTAGTTCTGAACTAGAGATAATCCACAGCTCCGAAATCGACCAATAGTGTTTTCTAGACTAAAACATTAACAAATGTACTATTAAGTTGCCGGATAAGTTGTCTTACGCTGTGTTCGTTGCTGATCACCCTGAAGTAGACATTGTTGGGGGAGGTCGCATGGGTGATGTAGACAGCTTCTGACTGGTCTGAGTTGCCTAGAGACTGAACAGGAAGATATGGAGGACCAGGATTTGGAGGATACTCGAACAACTGAAACACAACATGAGCCAGAATATAGAACATAAATGTCTTAAGAAATATACCATAAACTTCAGCAAAACAAAACGAAACTGAAATCAAAACTTAAATAGGCAAGTATAAAAATAAAGTTTTAGTTGAGTTTTAATCATAAAAAGTAAACTACTGTACTTCTAATCCGTCATGCATGGGACTTTACACATGCCAGAATATGAAATATTCCGGATTAACGGATGAATATAGGGAATTAGTGATGGTAGGATCCAGATATTGGACTAGCCTACCGGATTTGAGCTAGAACCGACACCAGATCGGATCCATAAAAAAATCGGATCTTAGGCTGGATCCGGTTTTAATGAATCCGAGTTTTTTTTTCTAATTTAAAATTTGTAAAAATTTTGTTTACATTTTAACAATTGAAAAAAATTGTTTTTTCCTACAGTCACCCGACAAAGTTGGCTTCCTTGTACTGTTTATAGTACAGAAAGCTGCTAATTGCTGCATATTTATACTTTGCCGTACGGTTTATACTTTGTCGTACGGTTTATACTTTGCCGCACATCAGGATTCCAACGAAACAACACAAAACAGCGTGGTTCTATTATGCACGTATTCCGTGTACGCTTGGAAATAGGTTGGCAACACTTAAAGATAATAATACCATGAGCAGCTGATTGACTATTATAACTACGATTTAACCTGTCATTTCGTGTTTATAGTTTCGGTATTTCTAAACTTTCTGGACTTTTCTTTTAAACGTTTTTAAAACATTCCTACGATCTTAATAAACAAGAAAATACCTTTATAGCATTTTTTTTTAGGCGCGGAAACCACTTCAAATTACAAAAACATACGGAACTATATTCTCAAAACGCGGAGCACATTTCTTGCCGAGAAAAAATAGCGGAGTGATACAGACCGCGGGTACTACTTTCTCTAGGGCACCATTTGTGTTGCCAGCTGAACCTAAAAACGTGTTGTATAGTGTTTGAAAGACTAATTATTTATATGCTTTATAGTGACTGTAGGAAAAATATAATGTGTAACACGAGTGAAAAAGGCCTTTGCTGCACTCGAGATCATTCCGTAAACATTGCTCTCGTGTGCAGCAAAGTGCCACTTTCACCACTAGTTACATTAGCGAATTTCCCATATAGGGAATAAGCTATTACCGTAGTACTCACGGTAAGACCTGGACCCGGGACCGATTTTTTTTTGTTTTGAGGTCCCTAGAGGCCAAAAACACCATCCGTTCAAATTCATATATATATATATATATAAATAAAGATTAAACTAGGGATGGTCAAGTCTCGAAATTTCGGGAAATTTTCAATCTCGTTACACGAGACGAGATTACTTTTTGGCCGAGATTTTTATCGAGACGAGAATTAAAAAAAAAAAAAAAAAAAAAAAATTAAAAACGCCTGCAGAAAGTCAATGCAATACCCGCAATACAGGAGCGTGTTGTAGTTGCGTTTCCTTTTCGAAGGCGTTCTTATTTAATTAATTCTTTTAATGCAAATATTACTTTAATTCTTTTAATGTAAATATTACTTTCATTATTTTAATAATATTACTTTAATAACATTTGAGAAGTTTTGTTAAGTGTAAGCAGTGTGAGGAATGTTTTATTACTATAAAAAAAGTCAAAACAAGTAACTATTTTATAAAAATTAATATTGCTTTTATTTTATGATTTATTTTATTTTAGGATAAGTTGAACTCTATCCTAACTGATATCACCATGTTTCCTAATCGTAGGCATTTTTAATAAGTTAGGCGTGATTAATAAAAAAATGTTATGCTGATGTTATTCAATGAAAGATTGTAAATATTCTTGCCTATTATCATTATTTTAGTATTTAAACAGTCATCTAACAATGTTACAAAATCAGGTAAAAATTTCGAACGTGCATTTCCCGTTGTGTATGAGAAGGGAAATCCTGTCTCGATCTCGTCTCGAAATTTTATGAGAAGAGAAATCTCGTCTCGATCTCGTCTCGAAATTTTATGAGAAATAAAAAATCTCGTCTCGTCTCGTCTCGAACTAAAAATCCAATCTCGTCCATCCCTAGATTAAACATTAATAAACTTAGTACCCAAGTAAAATTATTTATTAAAATATTTACTGACTATAGTTTCGGCTCTAAGGCCATTTTCAAAGTAAACAAAAATCAAAATAAGATATGTAAATAAATAAATAACATATGATAGGCCCCTGAATATATGGTTTGACCTAGAAATAATTAGAACACAAATGAAACCATTGTAGTTTGATAGTGAAAAGTATTGTGAATAACATATCAAAAGTCTCCAAAAATATCTTTGGTGGAACACCACCATTTTTCCAAAATGGCGGCCAAATCCAGTAGTTTTTTGCTTTTTATTGAAATTCTGACTTTCCAGTCAATATTGGTGAAAAGTCATAAATACATTTTATTTTCCTCCTGAAATTACCGTTAAAATGATACCAAATACATGTACGTACAACCAAAAATAAAACCCGCAGAAATAATAAAATATTTCAAATAAAGGTTTTCCAATAAAATAATGTAATAGTCCAAGCAAACTAATAAAACAGACACAGGTATCGTATAAAAATTTGCAAGTAAACGTTTTATGGCTTTATTTTTATTTTTGTGGTGCGCAGAGTGACATATCAAAAGTTGCAAAAAATCAGTCCACGGGAAACCCCTAAATTAATTATATAAAATGGCGGCTTTTCCCAATATTGGAGAAATTTTGCAAAACGAGATACCGAATGCTTTTTTGCACAATTTTCGAGATATTGACTTGGGACCACCACCGACATTTATTGAATGGTTCGTAATTAATTTCGATAGGGGATGCTTTTAGGGCCGCCATCTTGGATCTTCCATATTGGATATCAATATTATTTAATGTAATTATAGTGTTGTGACACATCATTATGAACTAGATTTCCACGCTGATTTCAATTCTGAAATCCGTTTTTAAATAGCTATTTTCTATTTTAAGACATATACAAACGAACATTCTCCCCCACACATTGCTTATGGACGTTTCGTACTTTGACAATTTAAACACGCGTTGAAAACTTCACAGCCTAAGGGTGTACAGTATCAGGTTCAAGTATGGCGTGGAAATAGTTCACCAGCAGAACCAACAGATTGGGGTTGGTGTTTGACTGATGGTGCATATGCCCTTTATACCAGCACTACCTTCTCTATTAAAGCTCGTCCACTGAAAACGTCATTCTGGTTGTGGCAGTAAGTGTAAATGCCAAAAGAGGGGTGATGAAAAAAAAATGGTATATGTGAGTACTTTGATACCAGAACAAACTTGTTGACATATTAGCAACCCAACAACCCGAGATCTAAATCTTTTAACAAAAACTGATTTAAATAAAGGGTAATTATTGTGTTGGGGTTTTTACCTCCTCTCCAAATAGTCTGTTTTAACTATAAATAGCTAAAATGAAAGCTCTTACATCACTGAATATTTTAAGGCTATAACGAACTGCAAGCATCAATAAGACCTGGAGAAAAATACTCTTAGATCACTGAATATTTTAAGGCTAGAACGAACTGCAAGCATTAATAGACCTGGATAAAAATAATCTAAACACATTTTCAAAGTATGATACGTCCATAAGTAATGTATAGGGGAGAGTTTTCGTTTTAATATATCTTAAGAAACGAAAAAAACTTATTTAAAAACGGATTTAAGCATTGAAATCAGCGTAGAAATCTAGTTCATAATGATGTGTCACAATACTATAATTACATTAAAAAATATTATATCCAATATGGCGGATCCAAGATGGTGGCCAAAAACGCGTTCCCTATCGAAATTAAGTACTGACTACCCAATAAATATTGGTGGTGGTCCTAACTTAATATCTCGAAAAAATTGGAAAAAAAGCATGTTGCATCTTTTTCAAAATTTGTCCAATGTTGGGAAAAGCCGCCATCTTTTATCATTATTTCACGGGTTTCCCGAGGACTGATTTTTGGCAACTTTTAGTATGTCTCTCTGCACACCCAACAATAAAAATAAAACCATAACACATTTACTTGCAATTTTTACACGAACCCTATGTCAGAAATTTTAGTTTGCTTGGACTATTACGTTAATTTAAAAAAATATTATTATTTGAAATATTTTATTATTTTTACAGGGTTTATTTTTGGTTGTAGGTACATGTATTTGGTATTATTTTAAAGGTAATTTCAGGAGGAAAGTAAAACGTATTTACGACTTTTCACCAATATTGACTGGAAAGTCAGAATTTCAATAAAAAGCAAAAAACTACCGGATTTGGCCGCCATTTTGGAAAAAAGGTGGTGTTCCACCAAAGATATTTTTGGAGACTTTTGATATGTTATTCACAATACCTTTCACTATCGAATAACAATGGTTTCATCTGTGTTCTAATTATTTCTAGGTTTTGCTACTTTTTTTCTTATTTTAAGGCGCCTAATGATATTATAAAAGTTTTCTAACTTGTAACATAATTTTGTCTTCATTGATTAATTTATATACTATATGATGTGTTGTACTTATTTTCATTAATATTTTCTCAATTTTGCTATTTTTTCATATATTGGATTATTCAATTTTGGAATCATTTACATATCTTATTTTGATTTTTGTTTACTTTGAAAATGGCCTTAGAGCCGAAACTATAGTCAGTAAATATTTTAGTAAATAATTTTACTTGGGTACTAAGTTTATTAATGTTTAATCTTTATTTATATATAGTAGCCCTATTTTTCTATTTTTCATATATATATATATATATATATATTTTAATTATATTATTAATTAAAATTGGCTTTAAAACAAAAAAATAATGCCTTCAATATGATAGCAAATAACATTAATACAAATAAAGAACATCAAGACATCTATGACAAATCTGGCATTTACAAAATTGACTGCACTGATTGTGAACACTTCTACATTGGTCAGACAGGACGCTCTTTTAAATCTAGATTCAAAGAGCACATTCAAGCTCTTAAGAGTAACAA